CCCCAAAACCCCAAAACCCCAAGACTATATATTGGCTAGAAATGAGTTGACTTATAATTATAATCAAATTAAGTAATATCATATGAAGCAATCACATAAGCATTCAAGTCAATCAGAAGTTAGCATGGCTTTTTCAGTAGGCATGGGTAAGTGCAAGCATTAGCATTTATATATCAAATATAGAGTCAAGATATATCTAGTATTCTGGTTAGAAAAATCAAAGAAGACAAGAAACCGACAACATCACTAAAGATATGCAGCTTTCTAAAAATACTAAAATTTAGTCGAACTAATAAAACAGAGGAGGAAGTCAAGATACAAATGCAAGTCTTAAGAGTGAAAGATCCTCATAGAACTTTTATAAGTTCCAGTGCAAACTTAAATAGGATTTGATCAAATATCAGTAAGACGTAGCCAATCATTTGGAAGAAGTATCAGACGATGATATTAAATCCTATGAGGAAAGTATGACAACTTTCACTTAAGGATTTCATATTTGATATTGTCAGCAATCAAAGCCTGTCTTTTACAGTCAACCACTACCCCTAACAATTGCCAAGGTGGAATAGAGAAGGATCATTATGCCTGGAGATATAGAGTAATAATAGCCAGAGAAGTAGAAGAACTAGAGTTAGAAATTGAGATCTGAAAAAACTTAATCAACTGCAAGTGTAGAGCCTTACCCTCATGTTGATTCTCTTATCCTAATTAGAAAATGATTCAATCAGAAAAAAGGTTCAATGAACGACTATTTCTTTAGTCCAACCAATTCAAGCAGATCTAATTTGTCATCAACTGAGGAAATGAAAGTCAAGTTTGGAGCCAAAGAGTTCATTGAATAATACAAGGTGGCATCTAGCTATTCTCAGTCCACTTCTGGAATGAGTTATTCCTCTGATTAACCTTTCATGGAATACAGCTAGAGATCTGACTTCGAGAAACTTTCAGGAAGTTAAATTTCTTAAAGTTCTTCAAATTCTAAGTAATCCAGATATTCTAATTAATAGCAAGCTTTTACTCTTGAAGAAAGTATCATTTTGCCAAGTACTGATTCTTAGTGCACTATTTTGTACTCAACATAAAATTCACAAGCTAGTGCATTAAAGATATCCTAGATAGCTAAGATATTATCAACTGGAGGTAAGAGAACCTTTAATTAGAAATAGAAGCTGGATAAGTCTTGCATTTCTAATGATGCATAATTGGAGATGAGATAGATATTAGAGAAAGGAAGTGCAGAGGTTAAGATACCAGAGAGCAAGGAAGAATTAGAGGATAAATTTCAGAGTCTTTTTGTAAGAGCTCACTTTCCTACTACTCCTTGCTGGCCTTCAACTTTCATTGATGAGGGAGTTAAGCAACCTTTTGAATAGTCATCTACAATGATAAATAATGATGTACCTTTGATATTTGCTAAGAAGAAGAGGTACCCATTGGATAGGAAAAAGAGAGTTAAAGTATTGTTGGAGCATAATATGAACTACAAGACGAGGTACAATATAGCTAGAGATCATTTGAAATTCTAGTTGTACACTGATGATGAGATCGGGTTTCCTTCAGAACAATTCACAGATCTGATTCATGATAGCGTAAGTTTTAAATTTAATAATAATTACTGATATTTAGCATGCAGATGAGGATTGCGATTCTGATGATGATGTATTGCTGAAGTGTAATAGACTTTGCAAGAGAGACCTTCTGGAGTTACTGAAGATGATGAATGAAATGAAAATGGCAAGAATCTTCACTAAATATGTTCACAACTTCAGGAATTTTGTAATTCCTCTCCAGAAAAGAAGATTAGGTGGCTAGAAATTCATAAACTATTGATGAGTGAGAAAATCTTGCAGCCATGTTTTGATTCAGACTCTCTATAAAGTTTACTGAAATTTTAATCTATCATAAATATTATATTATAGCTATAAGGATTATAACATTGTAAATATTACCATTTAATTTTTAATTAATTCTTTTACATTTTATCATTAAATTATAAGAATATTTGATTATGGGGTTTTGGGGTTTTGGGG